TGCTGAAGTGGAGCATCAAATGCAAGGCATACCATACAAGGCAGCAATAGGCTCACTCATGTATGCAATGGTGGGTACAAGGATGGATCTTGCATTTGCAGTAAGTGTTGTAAGTCAACACATGGCAAAACCAGGTCCTATGCATTGGGCAACCATCAAAAGAATCATGAGGTACTTGAAAGGCTCTTTGAACCATAAACTATGTCTTGGAGGAAATAACATTGCATTACATGGATATTGTGATGCGGATTGGGCTGGAGATACAAATGATAGAAGATCAACAACGGGCTATGTATTCTTTGTTGGAATGGGAGCCATATCTTGGAATTGTAAGAGACAACCAACCATTGCAAGGTCCACAATGGAGGCGGAGTATATGGCAGCAAGTCATGGAGCAATGGAGGCAATTTGGTTGAGGTTGTTGTTGGAAGACATTGGACTTGTGCAATTGGAAGCCACTCCATTGAGATGTGACAATCAAGGATGTTTGGCTTTTGCAAAGAATCCAAAGAATCATGCAAGAACCAAGCACATTGATATTCAACACCACTTTATAAGAGAGAAGATAGAGATGGGAGTTATTGATATGATGTATTGTGAAACCAAAGACATGTTGGCTGATTTGCTAACAAAAGCCTTGGTGAAAGAGAGACACAACATATTGAGTAAGGTATTAGGATTGATAGCTAATTGACCAGTAGCAAAGTGGGAGTGTTGAAGGAAAGAATTCATTTAGTTGTTGCTAATGGTCAATAGAGTATATGAGTAATGAGGGATATCCTACAAGGTTAGTTGCTGGTCTATAGTGCCTTAGAATACAAGGAGAGGGCTGGTTCTAAGAGATATTCCATATGGGTTGTAACACATGGTACCTTGGTACTAGTATATAAGAAAAGGGTTGGCATGGGAAGAATCATCTCATACCACATTCTTTTTGTGAAGTGCAACCTTACTGGTCCTAACTTGCTTGTGTGGAGTTTGCTTTCTATGTTTCAATAATCTCATGGCTCATGTGAATAAGGTAAAAGCACTTGCAAACCAACTTGCTGTTATTGACAAGCCTTTACTTGAAGAAGATGTTGTGATGACATTGCTCTCAAGCCTTCCGGACTCCTATTCCTCCCTCATTGTGGCATTGGAGTCAATTTCAAGAAAAGATCTTACTTTGGACTATGTCACGGCAAGACTAGCCCATGAAGTGACCAAAAGAAAGCAAAAGGAGTCTATTGGAGAGCAATCAGCACTATTCACGAGACCAAGTAAGGCAAGTACTTCCATTCAACGTAATCTTCCCAAAACTTGTTATATTTGTGGAAAACCAGGGCATTTTGCTAGGAATTGTTTCAAGGCAAAGAGAGGAGAAAGAGAGAATGCCAATAATGCTTTTCATGACCATGGAGGTGATGACTTTGCATTCATGGCAAAACAAACTTCTTCCATGCTTGATATGAGCAAATGGATCGTGGATTCTGGATGTACCAAACACATGACTCCATACAAGTGTTCATTTAACACTTATCAACAAATTCCAGCAACTAAGGTTTGGTTAGGTGATAATGGTATGGTACAAGCCATTGGAATGGGCACCATTGTAGTGGAAGTAGTGGTCAAGGGCATAAGCAAGAGGATCACACTCAAGGATGTGTTGCATGTGCCAAAGATGAAGAAGAACCTCCTTTCGGTGAGTAAACTTGTAAGTCATGGGTGCAAAGTGCAATTCAATATGAATGGATGTTTTGTGAGAACCATGGAAGGCAAAGAAGTAGCAAAAGGGATTAGAGATGGCAATCTCTATATTATCAATTGCAAGCGCATCAATGGAGTAGAGGTTGCTGCTTTTGCTGAATTTCCATCAAATGAAGATAAGGTGGGCATTTGGCATCAAAGACTTGGACATTTGAATGCCAAAAGCATGAAGGAGCTTCAATCCATGGTAAGTGGCTTAGACCTTGGCCATTCTACTATGAATCTATCTTGTGAAGGTTGCATTCAAGGCAAACAACATAGGACACCATTTCCTAGTGGAATTGCAACAAGAGCAAATCAATTGCTGGAGCTTGTGCATTCGGATGTTTGTGGACCCATGAAAACACCATCTATGAGTGGAGCAAGATATTTTGTCACATTTATTGATGACTTTTCAAGGAAGGTATGGATTTATATCATCAAGGCCAAAAGTGAGTGTTTTGCTAAGTTTAAGGAGTGGAAAGCACTTGTGGAGAAGCAATGTGAGCACAAGATTAAGGTGCTGCGATCGGACAATGGAGGTGAGTATTTGTCCAAAGACTTTGATGAGTTATTGAAGCATGAAGGCATTGCAAGACAAACCTCCACTCCCTATTCTCCACAACAAAATGGAGTTGCTGAAAGAGCAAATCGCACCCTTGTGGAGATGGCAAGGAGTATGATTCATGCTCAAAAGCTTGGATATGAGTATTGGGCGGAAGCTGTGGTAAATGCCGTATATACAAGAAATAGGTGTCCCACAAGTGCACTTGAAGGAATGACTCCCGAAGAAGCTTGGACGGGTAAGAAACCTTGTTTATCTCATATGAGGATTTTTGGATGCATTGCATATGCTAAAGTTCCAGATAGTATGAGAAGCAAACTTGATGCAAAGGGCACAAGATGTGCATTCCTTGGATATTGTGAAGGCACCAAGGCATATAGGCTCATGTGTTTAGACACCAAAAAGATCATCAAAAGTCGTGATGTAGAGTTCTTGGAGTATAAGAGTGCAAGTGAAAAGTGGGAGATGTGTCCAAGTGGGAGTAGTGGTGTGTTTGTGGACACATCTTCAATTTCAGCAAACAAAGAAGAAGATGAAGAAGAGCATTCTCAAAGTGAAGATGGAAATGAAGATATCATTGAAGAAGAGCCCAACTCTATAAAGACTTCAATTCCAGCAAGATACAACAAACACAATGAAGAGAATGAAGATGAAGAATATCAACCAATGAATGAGAGAAGGAAGTGTATGAGCCATAGAAGGCAGCAAGAGGTATATGAAGGCTCATCTTCTTTGCATGAAAGAAGATATCCAACACGTGAAAGAAGACCACAAGGTGAATGGTGGAAGAACCACATCTTTCCACAAGTAAGTGAAGATCAGGCCAATGTTGCTCTTCTTGATGATCCATTGACTTTGTGTGATGCAATGAGGTGTGGTGATGCAATGAAGTGGGAGATTGCAATGCAAGAAGAGTACAAATCTCTTATGGACAACAAGACATGGGAGTTGACTCCACTTCCACCAAATCGTTCAGCAATTGGATGTAAGTGGGTGTTTAGAACCAAGAGAGATGCTATGGGCAATGTTGTGAGGTACAAAGCAAGATTGGTTGCCAAAGGCTACTCACAAGTTGCTGGAGTAGATTATAATGAGACATTTGCTCCAGTGGCCAAATTCACTACCATTAGAACTATAGTAGCAATTGGAGCATCAATAGACTTGGAGATGCATCAAATGGACGTCAAGACAGCCTTCTTGAATGGAGAATTGGAAGAAGACATCTACATGGAGCAACCTCAAGGATTTATTGATCAAGACAAACCCAACCTTGTATGCAAGTTGAAGAAGTCATTGTATGGACTCAAGCAATCACCAAGAGCATGGTATCAACGCATTGACTCATTCTTTGTGAAGGAAGGTTTTATAAGAAGTGAAGCTGACCATTCTTTGTATGTGTTGCAAGCCAAGGACTTCTTGCTGGTTGTAATCCTCTATGTAGATGATTTAATCATCTTAAGCAACACCATGGTAAAATTAGATTGGTTGAAGAAGAAATTGGAGAAAGAGTTTGAAATGAGTGATTTGGGAGAGCTTCATTATTGTTTGGGTGTGGAATTTACAAGGAATAGAGTATCAAAGACCATCACATTGAGTCAAAGCAAGTACATTGAAGAAGTATTGAAACGATTCAATATGCAAGATTGCAAGCCCATTGGAACTCCTTTGGAAGCCAACTTGAAGTTGATGAAGCTCACGGATGAGGAATATGCTGAAGTGGAGCATCAAATGCAAGGCATACCATACAAGGCAGCAGTGGGCTCATTCATGTATGCAATGGTGGGTACAAGGATGGATCTTGCATTTGCAGTAAGTGTTGTAAGTCAACACATGGCAAAACCAGGTCCTATGCATTGGGCAACCATCAAAAGAATCATGAGGTACTTGAAAGGCTCTTTGAACCATAAACTATGTCTTGGAGGAAATAACATTGTATTACATGGATATTGTGATGCGGATTGGGCTGGAGATACAAATGATAGAAGATCAACAACGGGCTATGTATTCTTTGTTGGAATGGGAGCCATAGCTTGGAATTGTAAGAGACAACCAACCATTGCAAGTTCCACAATGGAGGCGGAGTATATGGCAGCAAGTCATGGAGCAATGGAGGCAATTTGGTTGAGGTTGTTATTGGAAGATATTGGACTTGTGCAATTGGAGGCCACTCCATTGAGGTGTGACAATCAAGGATGTTTGGCTTTTGCAAAGAATCCAAAGCATCATGCAAGAACCAAGCACATTGATATTCAACACCACTTTATAAGAGAGAAGATAGAGATGGGAGTTATTGATATGATGTATTGTGAAACCAAAGACATGTTGGCTGATTTGCTAACAAAAGCCTTGGTGAAAGAGAGACACAACATATTGAGTAAGGCATTAGGATTGATAGCTAATTGACCAGTAGCAAAGTGGGAGTGTTGAAGGAAAGAATTCATTTAGTTGTTGCTAATGGTCAATAGAGTATATGAGTAATGAGGGATATCCTACAAGGTTAGTTGCTGGTCTATAGTACCTTAGAATACAAGGAGAGGGCTGGTCCTAAGAGATATCCCATATGGGTTGTAACACATGGTACCTTGGTACTAGTATATAAGATAAGGGTTGGCATGGGAAGAATCATCTCATACCACATTCTATTTGTGAAGTGCAACCTTGCTGGTCCTAACTTGCTTGTGTGGAGTTTGCTTTCTATGTTTCAATAAAGATTGAGCCACACGTGCAGGTTGTCGAGATCAACAGAGGGAGCAAGGTGAAGTACGAGCTTGACAAGAAGAGCAGTCTGATGAAGGTGAATGTTTAGATTGGGAGATTTCTGAAGGGGTTTGGTAATGCATGTTGACGAGATGTATGCTGTGTTTCGACCGCTCATTGTTCTGAACATCGGTTGCTGTGCAGGTGGATCGTATCCTATACTCGTCTGTGGTGTACCCGCACAATTATGGTTTCATTCCACGCACCCTTTGCGAGGACGAGGATCCCATCGATGTTCTGGTCATCATGCAGGTAGAGTCCTTTGTGCGTGAATGAAGTTAGTGGCACGACTGTGCGTAATCCCGCTATTGGATGAGTTGAGAGCAGAAGAGGCGTGTTTGAATGGAGTGTGCGGGCTGAAGTGTGAGGTGTCGTGCTGAGAAGCGTGGTTGATTGGCCGATTGTGGAGATACCGCATTCGTGCTCAGGAGTAGTGGGTTGGGTGTCAAACATATCCCTCGCTCCGGTGTGATCGGTGGCAGTTTGTTGTGAGAACTATGGGTCGCAGTAGACAAGTCGTTTGCCGAGGTGGATGTTGTCTTGGATGTGGCGAGTTTGTGAGTCTAGCAGCGATGGCCGGTGAAAGGGTGTGATTTGTGTTCGTGGTCGCAGGAATTTGTGATTTTAGTTGTTCTTGAATGTAGGCCTTGATGTGGTGGAGAAGCAATGGGATTTGTTGGACACTTGGAAGGTGGTGTGCATTACTTTTTGGGGGCAGCACTGATGGTTGACTTGGTTGCAGGAACCCGTGATGCCTGGATCGTTTGTCCGAGCTAGAGCCATTGGGTTGATGCCTATGATCGATCAGGTTAGAAGCTGTTGCGCTCGCACTGTGTGGCTGTTTGTGTCGTGGAAAAGGTTGTGGATGTGTTTTCTGCGGGTTAGCAACGTGAGATCTGTTCGGAATGCAGGGTGAGAAGGACGACAAGATCATCGCCGTGTGTGCCGACGACCCCGAGTACAGACATTTCAAGGACATCAACGAGCTTCCACCGCACCGATTGGCGGAGATTCGGCGGTTCTTTGAGGATTGTAAGTGCCGAGTGAGGTGACGCGGTGATGTGCATAATGGTCCAAGATGTGGACGTGAGAGAGGGAGGTGTCTTTGCTTGTGGTGATGTGTGACGTTTGTAACCGGCAGGGATGGGTTTGGGGTGAATCAGACAAGAAGAATGAGAACAAGGAAGTAACGGTGGATAACTTCCTGGGCCACGAAGCTGCGATTCAAGCCATCAGTCACTCCATGTAAGCGTTCTTGTCGAGAATTCCTATTTGATGTGTTGAGATGTGTTGGAGGATGGCAGTTGGTTTTGGAAGGTTGATGAGGTGTCTGGGGTCCTTTTTGGTTGTTTTTTCTGCTTTTCTCGGATTGTTAGTCCTGTGTGCGATTGTGGAGGCTAAGGGATATTGGTGTGCTTTTCGCAGGGACCTTTATGCGTCGTATATCGTGGAGAGTTTACGACAGTAAGAAACTCAGCACTTACTTGCTAAGGCATCTAGTTATTGGGTATAGTCAGCGGTGCAAGCATGCGAATTATTTACCAGATGGTTTGGCCACTACAATTCGCTTATTTGAGATGAGTCATGTTGGGACATGAATCTGAGGAGAAGTTGATTGTCCAGCTATTTTTTTCAGTGATCTGGTCTGGTGTTTCTGGTGGCACCAATGTGAAAACTGTTAAAGCGATGAGTATTCCATATAGAGTTTCATGTTCTGGTTAGGTTGGTGCTACAATGAGCATGATATCTAGGACAAGGTTATGAGTACGAGCTCAGTTTTGAGACGGTGTAGTGTGTAAACGTTTCTAGCTTGCCTTACGATCATGTGTTACATTGTAGAACAGGGATGCATTGTGCACGGGAATTGGATCATTATGAGATAACATACTTTGGAGGGCATACTTTGATCAGTGTGGTTTGATTGCGTGAAGATGTATTTTATCTCTTTCAATGAGTTTTTATGTGGATTTGTTCTTTTTACATGTAGTTGTGAATTTTTCAGGACGCTTTCTCCGACTCCTGTTTTACTGCCTCGTTCCTCGTCGGAAGAGTTGTGCGGCTCAGAGATTCGCCATATCATTCGTCAGCAGCGTAAAGCTGGTCGTGCATCCCCTCCTGGCGGTCGCACGTCACCATCACCAACGAACGGCTCTATGTCACCTCCTAATGGCCATGCTTCACCGCCGATGAGTCCCGATCTTACATCTATTAGTGACCATGCGTCGCTGGCAAAGAGTCCAGATCTTCCACCACTTCCTGACCATTGCAGAGGGGCGTTCACTGATCTTCCTGCACCTGTTTTCTCTCATGCTTAAAATCACACTGCCTTCCACTTTTTAGTGCAGTCTCAAACTTTTCATTCTTTCGTTTTTCTTTTTGAATCGTTACGAGCTGGGTTCTCTTGTTATGATTATTATGCTCTTAGTACATAGTTAGTACATATACGAGGTTGACAAGTTTTCACGATATTTTTTGACTCGGTTTAGGAGTCGTGCAGTTAGCAAGCATTCTGTAACATGTAGAGTTAGAATACTCCAGTATTTTCACGACACTTGATTCAGATCATCTGTGCATAAATCTCTCCCTGTCCATTTTCACAACGTTAGGTTCAGCTCAATTACGAGAAGCATACTCATTTACTTGGATGCCCTGTAAACGTTCACATTATTTTACTTGCTCCCTGCTAGTTGAGTCAAACTCAACACTGGAGTAGCTACACGTTTGTTACTTCCTTTTTCAACTAATAAAACTTACACATTGATACTACGACACATACGATTCTGACTTATTTTGGGCGATTTTGATTGAACACTTGGATTTATATTGCATGTCTGATATATTTCGAATTGTTACAAATTTGGCATTGAAGTGTAGACAATTTTTTTATATTTACACAGCCCATTGTACAAACTTATACATCTCTTCATTGAACTCAAGGGTGGAGGTAAGTTCAAATGTGGGTTCAAGAGAGGGTCATGCAGTTTATTAACTGTCCTCCCACAGGTTTAAAGGGTAGCATCCATTCATAGACAGACTCTTTGAACCTTGTCTTCATAAGAGCATCACATGATCAAGCGACTATAATTGTTGATTAATTGGTGTTAAACATGTATCTCCTGATTAGTGTTTAAGAGGGAGTTTTCATTGAATGAGGAAATAAATACAATCATTTGGATGACCTGTAATCACACAGGTTCTACCTAATTGGATGAGAGGATTACGTTACTAACAAACAAAAAGGAATAAGACGATGGGGTTTCATTTCTCTTTTCAACACCCCCTGGAAACCCTACAATCAATGAATTCAGACAGCGAATATTTCAATTGTTTGTGCATATTATTTTTAGCCATAGTGCTTTTTTAGAAACATTAACTAATGCTCTATATCCTAATTTGGTGAAAGATAGTAAAACACATGATTGCTTCTTTACACTTCATGTAATTGGTATACAATTGATGGTGAATAAGTAGCTCTTTGGGGACTTGCATTCATGAAGATTCTTCCTTCCTTTCCTCCCTCTCTTCAATCAACATCAAAGAAGTTGCAAAGAATGAGTATAGATAAATTTATATAAAACATGTTATGATTGATTGTGCCTTTGATATAGTGTATGATGGATTTTTTAGCTTATAGATGGAAAGTTTGAAGATTTCTTATAAATTTAAAAACCATATTAATTGCAATGGTCAAAGCTTGTTTAAGCACATTGTCGTATGGCGTGATTTGTAATCTGAGAATACATGGAATATCTAGCTGTAGAGAGTTTAGTTTTAACTTATTGACTAAGCTCCAATAAGTGATTTATTCCACCTTTAACTTTTATACAAAGTCTCGGCTTCCAAAACCTCTTCCCTTTATATAAAATGCCCAAATTGTAGAAAAATCCTTCAAAATATATTTTTTCCATAAAAGATTTTTTCTTCTGAAACTTTCGAAATTCATATCTTTTGATCCAACTATTTAGTTTTTCTGAAATTTTTATATTATATAACTATTATCGTTAATTTTTACTACAAAAATAAAAAATAAACTGTAAAATTGCTATCAATCTTTTGGCATCTTAGAAATCCTAGTAGGTGCTCTAAATCCTAACTTACAAGCACCAGAGCACTATTTTCTTCATATCTCAAAAACCCAAAATTCAAATGCCACAAAATTTGTACATAAAATTTATCAACATGACTATACACATTTTTAGAAAATTTGAGCTAAAATTTCATCAAATTGCTCAAGATATAGCTCAAAACACAACCACTAGTAAATTGGTTACTTACTACCTTTAGATTTGTATGTGCTAACTTCAACCTCCAATATCTCCTTCATTCCAATTTAGAATCTATAAAACAATATATCAAAAGTATAGCAAAAAAAAAAGCTCTCTCTAATCCTAGCCGCCAATCTTTGATTACTTTCTGTATGCATGCGTTATGTCCAAAACAGTGAAAGTAGGCACAAAATCAACACCTTAACTTTGAGCGTTCATATCTCTTTCATATAAACTCCAAATCACAGACATTTGTACCAAAACCATAGTCAAAAACTTAAGCTTACTAAACCTAGCCTCCAAAGCTAAAATGGCCTTAAAAGAATAATCCTAATCTCTATTAAGGCCTTAGGCAGTCTCTTTGAAGCCGATCGGACATGATTTTTGGCCAATAGGAATGGAGATTTTCATCATCCATCTCCATTAATCCATATGGATTCTCTAACTTCTCTTTTTTGCTTCCAAGACCCTTCTCCAACCCTTTTTCTAATAAGATTTATATAATATATGTCCTAAATACCAAATAAAAGAACCAAAATAAAACTTCAAAGATTATCAATGTCTAACAAGGATGATTCTAAATGTTTAAAAGTTACTACTAATAAGATCAACTTCAAAAGTCACTATCAAAAGAAAATAAAGTTATATTAATTTTAATAATAGTCATTTTAAACAACCTCTTTTTAGGATAGTAATCTAATTCTATTCTACAACTAACCAAAATTCATTAATATGGCTCTTTCTATATTATTTAGTAAATTATATATTAATCATATAAACACAATATTTTCATATAGTAGCCAAATCACAACACGGCAATATACAAAGCTTGGTTTAGTTTACATACAAGATTTTTATGTTTTTATTTTTAAAAGCCTTGCGGCTACAACACATATACATCTTCTTCAAGTTTTTTATTTAAAAATGTAGTCTTAATGCCAAGATGTTATACTTATCATTTGTTGATGCCAATAAAAATATTAATTTTTTTTATTGTATGATACTTTATAAACAATGCATATGCTTTTATCTAGTCTATGTCATATATTTGCTAATATTCTTAAGCTATTAGTCTCACCTTCAATCTTTTTGAACCATTGTTAATTCTTGGTTTTTTTTTGTAAATCCATTTATAAACTATTAATTTTTTTTCTAATAGCAATTGAATTAGTATCTAGGTTTTTATTTTTGAAATAGATTATATTTTATTATGCATAGGAATTCATAAGTTAGAATCATAGGTAATATTTTTATAGTTGAGTTTTTATTCTAAAAAAGCTATGTAGAATTTTTAGAACACCAAAAGTTATCTTAGTAGAGTAGACTACGAAAGCATTCATTGCACATCTTGCTGTAGTGGTAGTTGTATTGAGGTTCCAATATCAAGAGTTTGAACGGACCCGTTAATAAGCAATGGTGTAATGGAAGAAGTAATGCTATTATTGCTATGGACAATTGTGACTAAACAATAGAAAGTAGCAATGGAGTCAATAATAGAGTATCAATTTGTTTTATTGAGATTAAAATGTAGATTGTTGTTTGAAGCTGAGGTTGAAATAATCTGTCTTAATAGAAGTTATCTAGTATTTTAGCTTGAATATAATTAGATACTATATCTATTTTTATTAAAATTTATATTACATAATATAATAATTTTATATTTTATAGGGCAATAGTACTTATAGTCTTTGATATATGGATCAACTCCAAGCAATATATACTTGAAAGACTTAACATCAAACTTCAATCTTTGTTGAGTCAGCAATCAAGGACATGAACCTCAAAGAACTAAAGTATCAATATACTCTTGTGTCACTTGAAAAGACTAGAAAATCAATCAAAGAGGATATAATATGAAATTAGAATGGCTATTGTCAAAGACAAGAAGACTAAAAAGTCATGAAAGAAGACTAAGAATTAAAAAAACATTGACAAGAATGAAAAAGGATTCATTCTTGTCTCCATATACACTCTTAACTAGAAGCTACGTAGCAATATCCTATAAGACCTCGAAAACAT